TGGAGGAGACGAGGGCCGAGCGGGAGATGAGAGCGAAGCCTCAGAGCGGCCCCGCCGATACGGGGCTCGCTTTGTGCTCGCGCGGACGGGCGGCCGCCCCGCAGCGCTGCTTTGGCCTGCCTCCAAGTGAGGCCTGCTTAAAAAAAAACTGAATATTTTCTCCTAGGGAAAACCCAGTCAGCCCCCAGATATCCGTAAACGCAGCCACCTCCAACAAAACACTTTTTTTCCCTCAATTAAAAACGTTTTAAATGCCAAGCCCRCTCATGCCTCCTTACAAGAGGAGTTAGGCCACATTCCCAAAATCCCTGCTCTAAATGAGGCTACATTGGATGTCATACAGGGACGGCAAGATGTGGCTTTAAAACACGTTCTCCGCTGCACTCAGAATAAAGGCAAGAGCCAACCTTGATCAATTTTCCAACTCATAAAGTAGGCAGTGGTGTAAGGCATTCTCCCCACTGAAGCTGTTCCCATTTGTATAAGCTGTTTAAATATTAATTAGATGGATATTTAAACTCACGGCTCCGCGTGCCACATGCATGCCCACCGGGCCGAGCATCGTGATTCTGCCCCTGGCTGTTTTCCGAGAGACACCTAAACCCATTTGCCGGGAAATAATCATTTAACCGACAAGGGCTGGCTTAGGGTCTGCTCGTGATTCAGCCTGCTCAGAGGAGGAGAAATTTTATCAGMCAGAAAAGACRCTTCCCYCACATGGAAAAGAAAAARAAGGGGGGGGGGGRCTAATTAATTTACCAGCTGCTTTGTTTTGCTGGAGTAACTGAATCTGTTCCAGTATAGATCAGTTTCTTCCCTTGTACTCTCTTAATCTGCTACCAGTTCTGGTTTGCACACCCATATTCACAGCATAATTTCCCCTCGTGTTTTCGCTGTATCTCCCTTTGTGCTTTCAAACCTCCTGTCTTATTGCACACAAATATGATGTACATACATGTACATACATCTAGAGCCATCTACTTGGTTCTTGAAGTTACAAGCTCTTCCAGCTGTGGCAGATCCCTTAAAGATGTTGAATACCCTCTGAAGCCACTGGCAAATTGCTAGTTCAGAAATGTAGTATCATTTTTAAACCATGCTAATGATTCCTTCAGTGTTTGTGATTAACAGTACTCAACCCCCTTCCCCCATATGGAAAGATATGCTTTCCATATTCTTCCCTCCTGACTTCCATGTTTTTCCATATATACTTCACCTCTCCTTACTAGCTTCTTAGCCTTCTTAGTTATAGTGATCTAGTGAAACAAACAACTTCGAAAAGAGGCATTTGCCATTTTGATACTGTTTTTCAGCAAAGATCCCTTTCAAAATTCATCTCTGGTTACTGCTGCTGAAAGTGAAGTTAAAACAATTTTTAAAAAACTTGGTAAAAACAATAAATACTCAGTTCCATGAGACTAAAAGCGACTGTCCTCACACTGACCACCGACAGCAGGCAGCTTGTGGCTTCAATACTTTTGGGAATGATAGAAAATTAGAGATATTTTGAAGGAAACATCTTGGAATTCTTCTAGTAAAGAATTGATGAATTAAGAAATTATTTATAATGCGATAGTGATTACTTAAAATACATATTTAAGGACTATCTTACACTTAAGTCGGTAGCTATATTATTCCAATTAGTTTTAACAGTGCATGACATTGAAAGTCATTTTTATTATATTCCTGAAAATATTGGAAGAGAAGGCCTGATACTAAATTTAGCATTCTTGACAATGATTTCTTTTTATTTCTAGACTATGAGATGAGTTTAAATGTCTTCACWCAAATCATTCAGTACCCCAAGAGTAAATAAGCAAGTTTGGGAAGAAAACATTGTACTATTTAGCATAACACAAAAATCAACTGAATTACGAACATGAATGCACCTCCATCCTAAAGGTTTAGTCTTTTCTCATTCTTCCAGTTTCATGTTTTAAAGTCACGAAGAATTACTTTTTCTTGATCAATCATTAGAGTCCTTCCCTCCTCTCCAACGGTTTAATTAATACAGGTGATAGAATTAATACAAACTGACAGAATACGAAATAAAACAGATAAATAATTTTTAAAAGACAATACTCTCACGGTTTCAGAGGAAGTCTTAAAATACGAAACAAACCTAAACCCATTCAGCAATGCTTGCCTTAGCAATAAGCCTGAAACAATAAACCAGGGAAATTTCCAGTGACTTGTGCAGTGACTGGCAGGTGAGATGACCAGGAATGACAATTTAAATCTTAGTACTGTTAACTTTGACACAAATGTAAAGACAAAAGTAGAGGGTTACACAGATCTCTCCATTACAACCTAAAAGTGCTCATGTTGGAAGACACCAGCATTTTTTTTCCAAGATTGACACATSATATATAAATGGCTAGCGGATCATGTTTTTAAGTGAAACACCAGATTTTCTATATGGTTTCCCCAGCTGGGCAGTTCCTTTATTTTAAGGATATCGAGAGCTGCGAAGGCGATCGCGGCGTTTCCSCCGCCGCCCCGCGCATCCCGGCAGCCCTCGCTGAACCGAGCACACTAAGCTACGCTCTGCAAACTGCAGGGGCAAGAAGCATATACAGGAATGGAATCTGTTAAAATAAGCCTGTGTTCTGACACTAATTGACAGTAGCACCCAAGGCCTGAGGCATGAGCCAGTTATTATTAGCATTTTTAACACCGCTGAAGACCAATATGCTTTACAAGCCCGGCAGAATTCTCATGACCACTGAATAGCCAAACAGCGACTATTTTGTGACTCAAATGAGTACCACTAGACCAAGTGCAAAGAGCTTATTAAGGTATCACTTTGTTTTTTTTCTCCTGAAGATAAAGGGGGACATCTCCACCAGTTCAAGAGTTTGCCTGCTCTCCAGTCTGTTCCAGTAATTCCAGTCCCCTTTTCTGCCTGCTTAGCTTGGGTGCAGTGAAAGGTGCTGTAGAGCAACAGGACTCTACTCCGTTAACAAATCCCGCTCAAGGGCTTCCTGCTCCCTTCCCCAGCACAGATGCCTGTTCCCACCTCTGCGCCACTGTTCGCCCTGTGCTAATTCAAGGCTTTGAGGGCCACGTTATAAATCAGATGACTGAAATGATCCAGATTCAAAAAAAAAAAAAAAAAAAGTTCACACACACATATATGCACATGCACACACACACACACAAACTCAGATTTATTTCAGTAATCCAATTTACAACACAGCCCAGAAACAGCTGCACCGGCTGTGCACGAATGTGATGCAGGAGCAAGAACAAGAGGGTGAAGCAGGCAGGAAACTGCCTGGCTTAAACTGGCTTTCCTATTGGGAAAACCTTTGTATAACTACACCCCAAGAGCTCAGAGCTTCCCCAGGCAGCAAGGCTGAGCAGAGCGGAGGCAGGAATTGTGTTTCACAGCCGGGAGAGCGCTTGGAGGATTCGCACAGGATGAGCAGGGGGCCTCAAGGCAGTGGCCCTGCTCAGAGCTGCTGCCAGCCTGGTGCCCTCTGAGGAGGGTGATCCGGTCGCTGGCTTTCCAGCCCTTCTGCTTTTACACCAAATTGTCTCCCAAGTCTGGTTTAAAATACACAAACCCTTGGGTTAGAATGAAGTCAGGAATGAGGGGTGATAGCATCCAGCATGAGTGGGAAAAATAAGTGGAAATAGGATTACTCAATGGCAGTTCTACCCACTGAAAGATTTGTAAGGAATATGCCATTTGTGTAGCCCAGCTGTTTCCTTAGGCCAGGCATAAGTCAAAATAATGAGGGAGAAATGTGGGAATGGAAAGAGAAGTAAAAGCAACAGAGATAAAAACAGAAAGCTGGTTGTGTTACAGGCTATGCAACACAAAAGAGTATTATCTATCATCCCTGGCCTGGGCAGCCCTTTTAGTTATGCTTTTGTTGTTGTTGTTGTTGATATGTTACATAATTAGTGCCAAAACAGTCCTTGCCTACTCAGCATGCCATACCCTGTGGTGATATTTTCCAAACCCAAAAGTTATTTGAATCCRCATTAACATTATGTAAAATGAGACTGATGGATAATTAAAGAGGGCTCAKCTTCAGAATATCAGCCATATCCTAATAATATAAAATCAACATCTGAAAGGCTTCATCTTTATAAATGACCTCCTTCCAACATAAAGGCATCATGCTTTGCTAGATGATATGACAGCAGTCTGTCTTACTTTAATGCATATTTTCTTGTAAGAAGAACATCAACACAGGGAAAYACTGTCTGAGACAGAAGTTAAGGAGGTTAAGGAATTAAAAAAGTAATAACAGTTATTAGATAGCTGTTACATTTGTATTAAATAATATATCCTTGACAACTTGCAAATAGATCTGTGTCTYGAATTGAAAGTGGATGACTTTCCATGTCCAATTTGTTATTACTACTCTAAGAATGCTATTCCAGTATGTTATTCAATATGGAGATGCTCAGTGTACTCAAACTGAAAATCCAAGACAATTTGTAGACATATGTACAGGTCTTTCAATATTTTCATTCGGAGAGTGTTCCT